ATGACTAAAAATATAACAAATTTAAATGTATAATAATGTATAAAAAAAAAAACTAAATTATTATAATAAAATTAATAATATAAATAATTAAAAAAAAATATAAATATAAATATATATATATAAATATATATATATATAAATATATATATATTTAAAAATATATATATATTTATATTTATTTTTATATTTATATTTAAATTTATATATAATTTATAATATTTATTTTATTTTAATTTTTTTTTTTTTTTTAGATAATAAATATTAAATATAAATTATTCTTTTTTCTTTTTTTTTTTAAATTTTTTAAACGACATATTTATTTATATTTAGCTTATATCTCTATAAATTTATATAATTTTTTTTTTATATTTTTTTTTTTTGATTTTTATTAGTAATTTTATTATTAAAGTTTAAATTATATTAGATTTTATTTAAAATTGAATGAATTTTCTAATATATAAAAGGAAATTTTTTTATCCTAAAAATCTTATATTATATATTTACTTTTATAATAGTAATAATATTCTTTATTAAAATAAAAATCTATGTTATTAATATATTATGCTTATAATTGAACTAAAAATCAATTTAAAATATTTAAATTAATTATTTTGTTATTTAAATAATAAAGTTAAAGCTTTTTTAAAAATTATTTAATATAAATAAATTTTGATGTAATTATATTATATATTTTTAACCTATATTATTAATTTTATTAATAATATAAATTCTCGATTTTTTTTATTATTTAAATAAATTATTTTTAATAATATTCGATCAATCAATTATAAACTTGAAATTATTAAAATTATGTTTTATTTTAAGATTTAAATAATATATTATTATAGTGTTTTTGTTTTATTTTATTTTCAAAAATATATGAATTAAATATATATATTTCTATAAAATTTCATTAGTTTTATTAATTTATTTTAATAAATTGTTTTAAATTAATTTTAATTTTTAAATATTTATATAATTCATAATTAAAGTGAATAAAATCGTGATTTATCTATTTATATATACTTTTTTTTTTAATTAATACTTATTTTTTATATATTTAAATTAATTATTTTTTATATAGAAAAATAAATAATTATTCGAAAAAAAAATAAAAAAATATATATATTTACTAAATGTATATACATTATTTATTTAATATATTTATTAACCAAACTTTTTATTAATATTTTTTTTTTTTGAAAATTTCTATATATATATATTTATTTTTTACAATTATAATTTTTATATTAACATAATTTTGGTTAAAACATATTTTATATTTTTTTAATTTTAAAATTAAAAACTTTCTTTTTATTTAATAAATTAGATAAATATAATAATAAATATATTTAATATTACAATAAAACATAACATTATATTATATTTATTATTTTTTATTTATTAATTCTTTTTTTTATTTTTTTCATAAATCATCCTCCTCAATTGCCCTATTCTTTATTTTAGGAATATGTTTATATTATATTTCCTAACCACCATTATTTATAATATCGATTTCTTCCTAAGAAATTTTATGCCTTACAAAAGTACTTTTTACATGTTTAAAATCTTTTAATTAGATATTTTTTTTTTAAATAACATTTTTATATTTACCTTCGATATTAAATTAGAATGTTGGTCCCGGTTTATTTACATTCTTTTATAATAAAGACCTTTTACCAATAAATTTAATTCTTGGTTAATAAGGTGTGTGTAAATAAATTTATTTTTTAATTAAAGATTAGAAAAGCATTTTTTTTTTTATTTATTTTAAATTATTAATTAAATTTTTTATTTAATATTCTTTTAAAAAGAAAATAAAATAAAATATATTATATTATATTATTTTTCTTTATAAAATATATCTAAATTGATATTTTTTATATTTAGAAAGACATTTATTTAATTTATATAAATATTAATAATTCCTTTTATGTTTTTTTTATTTTGAATTAAGAATATGAATAATAATAATTAAATATTATTTATTTTAATTTAAATAATATTTTTTTATTTAAATAAGACTTTTCAATTACAATTTATTATAAAAGATTTGAAAAAATAAAAAAATATGAATTCAAATACATATATTGATATTATTATAACGAAAATAAACTATATATATATAAATTAATATAAGTATTAATTAATTTTATTTTTAATATTATATTAAGAAATAACTTTTTTTTTTTTTTTTCTAATTATTTAAATTTATATAATTTGTTTTATAAATAAAAAAATATTTTATTAATTTTTTTTTTTTATTATTTATTTAACTTTAATAATAAAACAAAAAATAACTTTAATTAATTTATTTGATTCTTTAAATAAAAATAAATATTTTGATCTTATATATAAAAAGCAATCTATAAAAAAGAAATGAATTTATATAAAAATTTACGATATTTTTTAAATTTTATTGATAAATAATTAAGCATTTCTATGTTTTTATAAATATTTAAATTCTATTTAATTAAGAAATTAACAAATTATAAAAATAAAAATTATTTTAAGAAAAATATTATTTGTTTTATTTTATTTTTTAAAGTTTTTATTTTTTTCTATTTTAAAATATTTTTAAAATAACTTTAATCGAATTTCTATTTCAATCTAAAAAATATAATTTCTTTTATTTAAAAGTAATAATAGCTACAAGTATTTAAAATAAATTATATATATGTGGTATTAAATTTAGCTTTAATTTTATTAATAAAAAGAATTTTTTATCTAAATGTAATATAATAGAAAAATATGAATCAAAATTTAACGTTATTTAATTGTTTAAGAAAAAAGAAGAATAGAATTCTATAGAAAATATAGATTATTTGTTAAATTATAAGTCATATATATATAATATGTATTACTGAACAAAAATATTTAATATATAATATTTGTTTAAAAATATTATAATATAGAAATAGTAATAAAAAATTTAAATATATTATATATATAATATTTGAATAGTCAATATATATATATATAATATTTTTATTTTTTATATATATATATAATAAATATAAATAAATAAAATTAAAAAAAAACATAAATAAATATGAGTAATTTATTTAATAATACTAATTGTTCTCTAGATTACTAAAACTTTGATATATTTATTAAAAATTGTCCTTCTTTTAGAAATTTCGAATCAATTTTTTAATTAGATAAGGAAATAACATTAAGCTTATAAGAAATCATTATTTTAAGTTAAAAGAGTAGATAACAATAAAAGAAGAAATCTCTTTTCTTTTTTGAAAATTAAATAGAAAACAAGATCGAAATTTTAGCTTGAATATAAGAAAATTATCAATATTAATATTATATTATATTAAAAAATAAATTATATTATTCAAATTATAATAAATATTATATTTTCTATTTATTTACTAATTTTATATTTTATATTATTCATGTTTTTATTAATTTATTATATTAAAAAAAAAAAAAAATATTAATATATAATTATTAATAGTAATGAATATTTATTTATTTTATAAATAAAATAAAGTATTTATTAAGAATAATTATTAAAAATTTAATTATTTTTGTCATTTTTAAAAATAAAATAAAAAACATATTCACATTTATTTATAATAAAGGATATTATTAAAATAAAATATAATTTATATTAAATTATATAGATTAACTTAATCAATTATAAAATTTTTATTATAATTAATGATATTAAAATAAATATTTCTACTAAAATATAATGATAATTATAAAAATATATATGAAAAATTTAAAAGTTTCTGATTAATTTTATTAATATAGATATGAAACTTTTATATATATTCTTTTTGTATATTTAATTAATTTAATAATAAATTATTTAAAAATATATATGATAGAAAAAAAATTCTGATTTAAAAATTGTTTTAGAAAACAAAAAATTATTTAATTTAATAATAAATGTTTTCATTTAAAAATATAAAATAAAAGCATATATAAATATATTATTATTTTGAATTTTTTTATTTTATATAAAAATATATATAATAATATATATATATATATATATATATTATAATTTTTTTTATTCATTCATATATATATTCCTTCATTATTTTGATTTGGTTATTATTTATTTATTTTATCTAATAAATTATAGTGTTTAATTAAATAATTTTTTTAATTTTCTTTATTTTTTTTTTGTTCTTCTATTATTTGGTTAACATCGTGTTTTTTTAAAAACTCACAATTCGGATCTATATTTTTATACTCTTCTAATATTGATATTAAATTTTAATAAGTTTAATTTAAACATTCATAATCATCTTCTACAGCTTCTTATAAGTCTTTATCTTTTTCCCAATCTTCCATTTCTGTAATTTCTATTTTTTTTTTTCTATTTTAATTATAAAAATTATAATTACCTTAAATTGTTTCTTTTAATTTTTCAGATCTTATTTCAAATTCTTTAAAATCTGCTTAAAGTAAAAGTACTTATTTTGGTGGTTTATATTTTTATTAGCTTTTTTTTATATTAATATTTTATTTTTTATTATTTTGTACTGAGCTGCTGCTTCTATATTTACTCCATATTTGTATTTTCTAAAATCTTAAAAATATATTCCATCTGCTAATTTATGTTCATTATGGTCATTATTTTATATTTTATTTTTATTTTCATTTTGTATTATTTCAAATGCGTTTAAAATATTACTCATTTTTAAAATTTTTATTTATTAAATAATTAAAAGAAAAAATAATAATTATAAAATATATTATTAATTATATAAATAATAAATACATATATATTTATTTATATATATATATATATATATATATATATCAATAATATCTATTCATATTCATTTTATTTTCAAAGATATTTTTTTTATATATATTTGTAAATATAAAAAAAATAGTAACAAAAATAGGTTTATAAATATTTTTTGTTAGAAAAAAAAATACTTAAATTTTATTAATATAATATTTTAAAGGTCATAATATCTATATAATATATTAATTAATTTAAAAAATATATAAAAAACAAAAAATCAATCATCATCTTCATCTTCATCATCTTCTTCATCTTCATCTTCATCTTCATCTTTATTATCTTCTTCTTCTTATTATTTTTACTTAGCTTTATTTTTTTATGGAGGCTTTTATTAAGCATCACTATCATCATCATCATCATCTTCGTCTTCTTCTTCATCTTCTTCATTATCATCGTCACCATAACTTTCTTCTTCATCTCCATCTTCTTAACCTTCTGGATCTTATTCTTCATCATCTACTTCATCATCTTGTTTATCTGAAGGAGTATCTGGTATATTATTTCTTTGTTACAAATATCCTTGTAAATCTATTTCAGAATGCTCTGACGTTTATTCGCCTTTTTAAAAAATTAATATTTTATTGAATTTTATGTTTTTTTATATGTATATTTGTATTTTTTTTTTTATGTTGTTTTTTTTAATTTTTTAATACCATCGTCTTCTAATTCATCTTCTTCTTCTTATTTTTTTGTCTTTTTTTAAAGATTTTTTTATAAAGGTTTCTATTATTTTCTTTTTGAATTCATTTTTTTTATTTATTATTTTTATTTTTATTTTTTGATTTTTGATTTTTTTTTTTTTTTTTTCGTTTTTTTTTTTATTATAAATAAAGCCAAAATTATATTTTTATTTAATTTTTAATTTTTTTAATACTTCTATTAATTAAATTAAAACAACAACAAAGTTATTTTATTAATAAAAATATTTTATATTAAATATTAATACTATATTTAAAAAAAATAATAATGATTCCACAATAAATAAATTATAACTAAATAATAAATACTATGTTATATATATATATATATATTTAGAATAATATAAATAAATTAATAAACTTAATAGAGTTTATTAATTATATATATATATATAAATATTTATATATTTTTATATTTTTATATTTTTATATTATTATATTTCTATATCTATTTTATCTATTAAAAAAATATATATTATATAAAATAAAACATATTAATTATTTTTTAGATTTTATTAAATAAAAGCGTAAATGTTTTTGATATTTTCATTTTTTGTTTTTTAAAAAAAGTAATTAATTTTAATTTTATTTTATTATCAGAAAATACTTACTAAATAGTTAACAAAAATTATTGTTTTTTAAGAAAATTGATTACAATAGTTAACATATTTTTTGTAATTTAAAAAAAAGGAAAAACAAAACAAAAAAAACGGAAAAAAAATTAAAAAAATAGAATATTTAAGAATTAACCTAAATTCTCAATAATCAATAAGATTATAAAACCAAAGTAAAGCCTATAAAATAATCTATTTTTTAAGATGATAAAGAAATAATAAAATAAATAATCAAAAATATAAAAGAAATAATATCCAAAAAGCAGCAATACCCTCCATACGCATAACTAAATGGCATTCGATTAATAAAGAATGTGTAGAAATATTCAATAAATATTTTATTTAATCCGTATAAGAAGAATTCTGCCAGTATTTGAATAAATTGCTATGTTCGATAAGGAAAACCAGCTTGAAGATAGAGGAAAGCGTTATTTTTTGGAAAATGAAGATGAAGTAATAGACATAAATAACAATATAATTATTATAGGAAATTCTCTTTTTAGACTAGTGCTGGAATGTATTTATGTTTGGAGTTTTTGGATGAAAAACTCGAGATTTTATACTGTTTTTTAGAAATTGAAAAATATTGAAAAAGTTAAATTTCCTTCAAGTTTTAATTATTTTAAAGGGGATGTAATTCATTTGTCTTTAGAAGAATTTAAATAACAAAAAGTAATATATAAAAATAAAGAAGAATAAAATGAAGATTTTTAGAATGCTTATTTGGAATTCAAAAAGGAGAAAAAGTATTTTTTTGACGAAAAAAAGGATTTTTTGAAATATAAAGGGAATATTGAAAAAATAAAAGAAAAAATATAGGCTTTTGTAAATCTTAATGAAGATAATTAAAAAAAATAAACTGAAAGTGTAATATTTTGTGAAAAAATATTAAAAAATATAGAATATTTAGATTAAGGGAAAATTTGTTTTAGTTAATTTTTAGACAATATGGGATTTTAGAAAAAAAATTGTTTGTCTTTAGAAGAAATTGAAAAGAATAAAATGTAAATTTTATACGGAAAAAAAGGGAATTTTTTAAATAAAAATAATGAGTCGAATTTAAATAATAGCCTTTTATAAAGGACAGTTATTTATAAATTAAAATAAAATACTTTTTAGGAAGTATTAGATAAGGTTTTGGAAGAAAAAAAGATGTATTAATAATTATATAAGTAATAAATGGAAATTTTAAAAGAACTAAGATAAGAATATGAATAATTATCAAAAAATTTAAACTGATTTTTATTTTTTTATAAATATATATATATTATAAGTATTTTTTTATTTATTTATTTTTTTTAAAAAAAAAATTAAATATTTATTTTATATTAATATTACTTTTTTTTTTTTTAAAAAAAAAAAAAAAAAAAAAAAACTAAAAAAAAAAAACTAATTTTATTATTTTTTTATTTTTATAAATGAGTTAAATTGACCCTATTTTAGGGTTTGATCCTTGGTTTTTATACCCACCAAAAAATATTTATGAAATAAAGCATACAGGTCCTTTATATAAGACAATAAAATAAAATTTAATTATAAATACATTTTTTTATTTAAATAATAATAGATCATTATATAAAGCACGGAGAAAAGAAAAAAGCTAGTAGAAAAATATACTAAAAAGTGGAATATGACGAATATGAGAATGATGGAATATAAAACTTAAAAGCTGAAATGGATAAACAAAATATATAATTACCTAAAGAGTATAATTTTTATATTATTTTTTTTTAAAAATTCTAAGTAATTTTTTTTGTTTTTTTTGTTTAAAAAAAAAATAACAGTTGGAGAAGAAGTGATTATTTAAAAATGTGTTATTGTGGTAGATTTGATATAAAAAAAGATTTAAAAGTAAAAAACTACTTAAAAGATACTTTTTTTTTAAAAAAAAAAAAAAAAAAAGGCAGCTTTAGATTTTATAGAATGGAAATAAAATATAAATATGCATACATTAGATGAAAAATCATTATAGTTATTAAAATCTGGAATGATTTATTTATTAGGAAGAGATAATTAATACCGACCAATTATATATTTAGATTGTACAAAAATAAATATGAAAAGTGATGGAGAAGAAACTATTATGAGATCACTTTGCGTATTTTTGGATATGATAAGGAAATATATGTTTTTAGATTATTATGTAGAAAACTGGATTATGGTCATTGATACAGGCGGTTTAGGAGTTTTTGGACTTCCTATGAAAGGTTTAAAATTGATTGTGGGGGGTATGTAGATTAATTATTGTGCTACTATGGACAAAATGTATATTCTAAATCCTTCTTTTGGACTTTCTTCTACTTGGAGTGTTATTAAAGGGTTTATTGATCCTGAAAGTTTGGAGAAAATGTCGGTTTTGAAAAAAAAAGAATATAATCTTATGTAATAGAGAATTCCAGCGAGATATATTGAGAAAAAATATGGAGGAGAACATGAAGATATTACATAATATTGGTATTTTAATATTATATATATATAAAAATATATATATATATATATATATATATATATATATATATATATATATTATATATTTATATAGGCCTCCGGTTAACGTTTATTGTAAAGAAAATGAAAAACATTTGTTGATTAATTATGTTGAAATTGTAAAAGAAATCTAAGTAAATAAAGAGGAATAAAACAATTAAAAAAAAGGAGAATAAATCAATTAAAAAAAAGAAGAATAAAATAATTAAAAAAAAGAGGAATAAAATAATTAAAAAAAAGAGGAATAAAACAATTAAAAAAAAGACGAAGAAATTGCTTAAAAAAAAGACGAAGAAATTGCTTAAAAAAAAGACGAAGAAATAGCTTAAAAAAAGAAGATGAATTAAAAACAGAAGAAAATATTGTAACAACTTAAAATTTATAAGTCTCTACATCTTTAAAAGGAGATTTTATTGTACCGAAAATCTAGTTTACATAAGTTAGAAATGATTAGGTAAATTTGGAATATGCTAATTCAGGCTATGATGAAAAACTAGAATAAAAATTAAGATTCGAATAATAATAAAAATAAAAGGAAAATTAATAAAAAGAATAATAATAACTTTAGGATGAAAGCTTAAAAAAATAAGAAAATATTCAAAATAAAACGGAAATATAGGAAATCGATAAAACGAGAAATGAAGATGATTAGTTTTTCGAAAATATAGAACAAAATAAAAATAATGAAAAAATACTAAAAATTTAGTTTGATGGAGAGTTAAAACATAGTAATAATTGTTGTTAAAGTTGTATAATTTTTTGAATGTTTTTTTGGTTATTTTATATATATATATATATATATATATATATATATATATATATATATATTAAATAATAATATATAAATATCAAATTTTTATATCATAAATATATAAATATAATAAATAAATAAACAATATAAATCTAAACGTTTTTATATTGTTAAAAAATAAAACAAATTTATAGATATAGCACAATATTTATAAAAAAATTATTTAAAATATATATTTTTAATTAATAATAATATAAATTTATAAGTAAAGTAAAATAAATGTTTTTTAATTAACGAAATTTTCAAATTCCTTTAAAATCTCCTTAAAATAAGTTTAAATTAAATGATAATAAAGAGATTATTGATGAAAGTAGATATTTTCATTTTTTTTTTTAAATATATAAATATAATAAAATAAAAAGCTAAAAATTTTTAACCATTTAAAACAGATATAATTAATTCAAAAAATATTTTTGTATAAAAAGAATAATTATAGTAAATAGAAAATTAATTGTTAAAAATAAAAGGATAAATGAGTAAAAATGAAAAAGATTAAAGTTTATTACAATATTATTTACATATTTAATTTCTATTGGGTTAAAAAAACGAGAAATAATTAAATTAGATATCATAAAGTTTACAATTAAATACTTATGAAAACAATTAAGTTTTACAAATTAAAAATAAACAAAAAGAAATCCAAAACGGAAACCATTTAAAATCAGAAATACAAGAAAAGGGATAATTATAAGAAAAATATGAAAAAATAAAACAAGATTATCAAAATTTAGAAATACTTTTTAATTAATAAACTAATAAAATACAATGAAAAAATAATAAATTTTATTAAAAAAAAAAAAAAAATAATAATAATCTTTAATAAAAAAATAAATAAATATAAATATATATATTTATATATATATTTAATATGTATTATAATACTTTTTTTTTATTTATATATATATATATATATATTTAATTGTATATTCTTTTCTAATAATATAAAAATATTCAATAAACTAGATTTTTATCTAAAATAATCTTAATATCTTTTATATCAGGTATTTATTTGAAATCTTACTAAGTCATTTAACATATAAGATCAATAAACCATTAATCATAATATTAATTTTAACAAATACGTTCGATTTCTTCTTTATTATTATAAAGGTTTTTTTATTTACCAAAAATAAGGAAGTTTCCTAAAATTTATACTGTTTAAGCCTCTTATTTTTTAAAATCTTCATTATTTATTATAAATAATTCATTTGGGAAATATTTTAATAAAGAAATTAAATTTTTTGGGAATTAAATTTGCTTTTTTTATTCTTCTTTTGGAATATTTTTGGATATATCTAATTCTAAGTTTTTCGAGTTTTTTTTTACATTTTATACTATGTCACAATTTTATTTTTTTTCCGGATTTATTTCTATAGTTTCTTCTTTATTTTAAGAACATTCTAAAGTTTATCTTCTAAATTATTTTTTTTTTTTTTTTAATAATATTAAAATTAATAATTTTATTACTATTCTTCATTTTCTTCTTGTATTTTTTATAATTTAAACGTTTTTAAATGTGAACTTTATAAATTTTTGCCGTCGAAAATGTTTTTTTTATTTTGTGTAGTTTTTATTGGAGAAATGAAAAATAATTCATCTTTTTCGTAATTTTCTTCGAAGAAAATTATTAAATCAACAATATCTTTTGTTAATTTATATAAATATTATGATTATTTTTTAGATTAAGTGAATAATATTCCTTCTACGTTTCCCATTTAGTTATTAATTTCTTATAAATTGACAAAATTTGTTTAAAATTTATATGAAACTTAATCATCGAGATCCCTTAAACTTTAAATTTCATTTTTATTTTTTGTTTTATTATCTTTTAATGAAAAATCTTATATTTAGTCTAAATTAACTGCAGATACCATTTTTGTTATTTCTTTATATGTTTAACCAATAATAAAATTATGCCTTAAAGCTTCAGAAGTTGAAATTCTGGTTTCTGGATTAGGATCTAAAAGTTTATTTAATAAATCTTTAGCATCTTAATTAAGCTTTTTATTTATTTGTTTATTTAAAAAAAAACAAATAAATATATATATATATATATATATATATATATATTTAAATTAATTTTTATATTAAAAAATTTATAATATTAATTAATATTAAAATCCTTATATATATTATTATTAAAATCTTTTTTTATTAATTACTTCATCATATATCTTTTCTGGGAATTATACATTACATTTTTTGTTATTTTCTAATACTTATGAATATCTTTATCCTTTAAATATTGTTTTTCCTGTCAATCTTAATTTTTTTTTTTTTTTTTTTTTTTTCAAAAAAAAATTAATTTAAAATACCTCATTTTATATTTAAAAAAAGTTACAATATATGAAAGACAACACCTAAACTGAATGAATCTACTTTTGGAGTATATGTATGAAATTCAGACTCATTTGCTAATATTTCTGGAGCCACAAATCCTGGTGTACCTACATGTACATATAAGTATTTCTTTTCATTATAAAATTAGGCTAATCCAAAATCTATTACTTTTACAGTCTATTTTTAAGAAAACATTATATTTTAAGGCTTTAAATCACGATGCATTATTCCTAAAGAATGAACGTATTCTAAACCTTTTAACATTTCTTACATTATTTTACGGATTACCTAATAACCAAATTAAGGGTTCTGGAATTTTGTAAGTTCACATTACAAACTCTTAGAAGAATCTAATAACTCTTGTAGTATGTAATAACCATGTTCATCTTCGTAGGTTTCATAGATTTTTATACAATTTGGGTGGTTTAACATCCTTAATATTTTTAGTTCGTTTTAGAGAAATTTCTATAAAAATATATATATATATTTTTTTTTATTTTTTTTCTTTTTTTTATTTTTTACTTATGAATCTTCTACTGTTGCAAGCTTTTCCTTACTTAAATATTTAACAGCATATATTTTTTTATTGTCTAGTCTTTTTACTTCATAAACCTTTTTATTCATATATATGATTATATAAATATTATAAAAGAATTTTACTTTTGCATATTTTCCTTAACCTAGTTTACGAATTAATTAAAATTCTTCAAGAAAGTTTATTTAGAATAATTATCTTTATAAATAAGATTTCATAGTAATCATTTCTAAAGAGTCTCCGTAATATTCGTAATTATCTTTACTATTATCTGTTAATAATTTAAACCCATTGACCTTATTTTCAAATGGTTCATTTTCTTTTTTTTAATCGTATATCCATTCGACTTTCCAGTCTGGCTTCAATTCAATGATTTTATCGGGAATTTTCTGATAAGGATGCTTTTATATATTTATTTATTTATTTATTTAAATAAAATAGTTAATATTACTCTATTTATTATTATAGTATCTTGTGTACAATATACATATTTTAACTTTTTTTGACCTAAAAAATTTTTTTTATATAAACGTAATTCGAATTCACAATATTTATATTTGAAAGAAATATCTGACATTATAATTATTATTATTTTTATTATTATTATTTTTATTATTATTATTATTAATTTTTTTATATTATTATTATTTTTACCTGTATTTATTTTAATATTTTTATTATTTTATATAATTTTGTTTTTTTTTATTATTTGATATTATTGTAATTTTTTTATATAGTTTATTTTAATTATATAAATATTTATTAAAATCCACAAATAATTACTTAATTTTATTTGATGCTTTTTATTTATTATTTTATTTCTTATTTTCTATTTTTTAATTTTAAATTAAATTTTTATTATAAAAAAATATAAAATTTATACTAATATATAAAAGTATATTTATATTTGACTGTAAATTAATATTTTTTATTTACTTTTATTTATTATTATTTCTTAGGTTAATAATCATATATACATATTTTTATTATCTCTATATATTATTCTATATAATTTTAACTTAATTATTTTATATTATTTTATTTATTCCAATTTAATTATAATAATATCTGTAATTAATTATTATATATATATATTTTTTTTTTTAAAAAAAAAATGAAAAAAAAAAAAAAAAAGAATAATATATTTATATATTTATGTTAAGTTTCTCTTATTTCCATTCTTAAATAATTATAAAGTAAATTTTATATGTAAAAAATAAATTAAAACTTGTATGATTTTTTTTTGTTTTTTTACTCAAATAACCTTACATTTATTTATTTTATTATAAATAATTCAATAAAATTAATGATTATTTTGAAAATATAAATTATATATATATTATTATAGGTTATAAAAATATGATCTCTTTATTATTTTATTAAACAAATTCATAAAATATAACAATTAATAATAGAGTCATCATTTTATAAGAATCAAAATAAAATAAAACATATTCACCTCTATTAATATATATAAATAATTAATTTTAATTTCTATGATAAAACACTTTTTATTTTCTAATATAAATATTTATATCTCTTAATTTATTGTCAAAAGAAACTATTAATTTAGTATTTTAATTTAATTTATTTATAAACGCTGATATTTATTGTTAAAAATATTAAAAACCTAAATTTGTAAATATTATTCTTATTATTAATATATTTGATTCAATATAATGTTGAGAGACTTAGATTAATTCATAGTTATTATCATAAAGGTTAAATATATAACAATGAAAAAAATAAAAAATCATAATTAAGCTATTTTTTTATTTGTAATTATATATTTCTTTTGCTTTGGTTATTTTGTTTTTTTAATATTTAGCTTTAATAAATTTGTAAGTTATATAAAAAAATAAAGATAAAAATAAATATATATTAAACACCACGTGTATATATAGAATATTATTATAAAGTGGAGAATTATATAAGAATTCTTAATTTATATTTTAATATAAGAATATTATAAAAATGATATAAAAATTTATTTAACTTTTTTTAAAAATATAAAAATAAAGTTAGATATATTTATTATAAATTAATTTTTTTATTTTAAAAATTGAAAATTGAATTATAAAAAGAAAAAAAATGATAAATTATTTATATAAAAATACAAAATCAACATTTTATTAATTTTATGTTCATATTTATATTTAAATTATGTATGAATAAAAAATATTATAGATAAAATAACTAATATAATAAAGTTTTTTTTAAAAAAAGTAAATATACTTTGTAAAGATAGAATTTATTTTACAATATGCAGTAAACTTAATAAATGCAATTATAAATATTATATAATAAAACTAATAAAAGAAAAACAGAATTAGTAGAATGAAAATAATGTTGATTAATAAAAAAAAAAACTGGAACAATTAAAAAAAAAAAATTATTTAAAATTAAAAATGAAGATTTAAAATTAAATTTTAATAATAATATAAAAAAAAATGATAATGTATAAATAAAAATTAAAAAAATAAATATAATAATATATATGTATATATATGTATATATATATATATATATATTCAAAAAAATAAAACAAAAAATTTAAATAAATATTATTAATGTATTAATAATTTTTTCATTTTTTAGTTTATTTTATTATATTTAAAACTTTCATTTCTTATTAAAATTTTAATTAATATAATCCGTCTATACGTAATTGTGGTCAATCTTTTTTAGATGATAAAGGTATAGAAAGATGTAAATAATGTTTTTTAGGTTTTACAAAAACATTCGATATGTTATAATGTTAATTAGCCGAAAAAAAAATTGCGCTTGGGATTCAATTTGGGGTTGTTTGGAATGCGAATGTGGTCATGTACTAACTAATCCACTTCGATAATGTGTAGAATCGAAAATTTAAGGATGTTTAATTTTATTAAAAGACGGAATAGGTTGTTAATAAGCTAAAATAGGCTACACAATAGTATATAATAATTATTAATCAGGATAATTGGTCTATTAATAAACAAATAAAGACAAAGGAACTTTTTGTGGATGGTAATTAGCTGGGAAGAATATTTGTTATAAATGCCATCCTGGATATTATATGGTTAATAATAAAAATGGCTGTTATAAATAAAAAAAAACAGTAAATGACTAGTTTTCGCATTTCGAAGGAAGAGATATTTCCAGTATATAATTAATACCAGGAATGGAAGATTGGAAAAAAACAAACGTAGGAGTTTTCGAAAGTGAAATTTAAGATTGCGAATAATATATGGATGATAATATTTATAATTAAGAAATATAATGCAAAAAGTGTATTAAAGGAAAAATTATTACTTAAAATAGAAAAGAGTGTGTTCTGACTACTTATGGATGTGAATATGCTGATAATATAACTAAAAAATGTATTAAATGCGAAAAAAATGATGATTATTATATACTTAATAATAATTGTGTATTTAGGTATATTAATATATATTATTAATAATAAATATATATATATATATATATATATATATATATATATATATATATATATATATTTTAAAGAAATTAAATTTTTGATGGGTGTTAAGTTAGGGAAATAACGAAAGATGAGTGTATTTAATGTTCTAAACTTGGTTTTAAATTAAATCTTAAGAAATAATGTGTAAAATATAACATTGTAGAGAATCTAATGGTGTTAACTTATGTATAAAATGCTAGACTGGGTTTTATGTTTATGGGACGTAAGGGAAATGTAATGTTTTATTGCCTTTTTGTAGAGAAATGAATGAAGTTTCTATATAAGATGATATTATTTCAAATCATAGATGTAAAACTTGCTTTCAGAATTATTTTTTGTTCCCAACTGATGGAGTTTGTTATAAAGGAATACTTGATTGCTAGTAAATTGATTTAACTTTGTTTGATCCGAATGATATTGTTAACAAAGTCCCGAAATGTAAACCTGAAGATGTCCCAAGAAAATTAAGAGATGGATGCTTTTCGGAATACCATTTATTTGAAAATTAATGCTATTTTAATATCGAAAATTGTGAAACATACCTAACAAACGGTAAACTGGGGTGCTTAAAGTGTAAAAGTATGTATTTGCCTTCTTCAGATCAAAAAAGGTGTGTTTTACATGATTATTAATTCTAAAAAAAATGCTAGTTGACTGACGGATAGGGTAATTGTTTATAATGTCTATCATTAAAATATGGAAATAAATGTGAAGATATACTTTCTTAGAATTGTATTTTTAGTAATGGGAGGACAAATAAGTGTATTATGTGTATGAAGAACTATTATAATGTGAATGGGATTTGTCAATTAAATGATATTAATTGTATTGTTACTGATGGAAATTTGCACTGTAAGCAATGCAAAGCTGGTTTTTACACAAAAAAATACGAATTAGATGATCTAGCTGGGAAAAGTGATGATGAATCAAGATTTTTTTGCTAGGAAATTTAAGGATGTGAATATTCTGATGGACTTTCGGATGTATGTGATGTCTGTAAGATTGAGTATATGAGAAATTTAGATGCTAATACGGGTAAGTTTGTATGCTAAATTCGATAAACTGAGTGTAATTTGATGAATGGGAATGGAGAGTGTATATAGTGCATTTCGGGGTATTATTTGCTAAATAAAGTGTGTGAATAAATATCCGATTGCAAATATTCAAACGGGTTGTCTAAAAAATGCTTCGAGTGTCAAGATGTTGGAAATTCGGATTTTGGATTTATTTTAAGAGGAACCTAATAAGAGGTTTGTTAGGATACTAAATAACTAACTATAGGGCTATCGATTATTGCCTGAAGTATATTTGTACAGGAACTAGTTCTGATTGTAATATTGCTTTAACTAGTGTTGTTAGTACTGTTGGAAGTACTTATCCAAATAATGTGGTTTGCTAGTAGTGCTATGGGAGCTATGTTTTGATGAATGGGGGGAAGATTTGTGGGAATTTGGATGCTTCAAAAAGTAAAATAATTAATTGTCAGATTTATGAGACTGGTTAAGCGAAATGTGTATAGTGTTTAAATGGATACAAGTTGAATATTGATAATAGTTAATGTGTTTTGATTTCAAAGAAGTATTGTAAGGTCTCAAATGGGAAAAATGAAGAATGTATAGTATGTGAGGATGGGTATTTGATGGTTGATATAGCAAAGGGAGTGGATAATTAATGTGCGCCGTTTAGAAAATATTGCATTGATTATGATAAGGATGGATGTATAAAATGTAGAACTAATTATAATTTAATCGCAAAGGCTTGCTATGCACCGAAAGGGTTTTCTTGTAAAATAGTTGAGGATGATATTAATAGTCCTTAATAGGGGTATTGTAAAAGTTGTGATGATACTAAATCGATTTATTTGACTTTAGAAAATAATTGTTTGTATAATTAGTTTAGTTATAATAAAAATAATTGCAAGAACTTCAATATTAATTCAGGTGGGTGTATTGAATGTGATGCGGGATATTATTTAATTTATGATTTTAATCTATAAGGGTATTGCTTTAAAGTACCTTTATGTACAGATACTACTGCAAATAAATGTAATCCGTGCTTCGATGTTAATACTTAAACAGATAATTGCAATCCAAATTTTTTTATTAATAATTGTGTGTAAATCAATCCTTCAGGGTAATGTGAGTAGTGTTAAGCTGGGCATTATTTAAGGAGAAGTTCTGCTAATAAGCTTTTCTTAGAATGTAGTACAGGAGGTCTATGTACTCGTTCTATAGATGGAAAATTTTGCTCACAATGTAGCAATTCAGCTTATGTCGATGATACTTTTGAATCAGAAGAAGGCTGTATTTAAATTGATGGGTGCAAAAATTCTAGTACTGGGTTTTTATGTACTTAGTGCGAAACTTTTAAAATGAATGGATTAGTAAAATAAGGTCTGTATCTTTCTTATAATAGAAAATAATGTTTGAGTATTCCTTTTTGTTAAGAATCTGTAGATGGGATATAGAAAATATGTGCAATTTGTTAAAGTCTAAAATATCCTTTTGAAGGGGAATGTATAGATGTGGAAATCGAAGGTTGTGAATAAAGTTAAGGGATTTTTAATAAATGTTAAAAATGTAAATAACAGTATTATTTGGAAAATTAATACTTTACATGTGTTAAAGGGACTATTGAAAATTGCGAAATTTACAAAGATTTACAAAATGTGTGCAGTAAATGTTTTTCGGGTTTTTAATTAAAGGATAATATTTGTAATCCTATTCCTAATTGTTTAGTCTCGTTAGGTAATTCGAATGGATGCTTAACTTGCGCAGATCATCATTATTTAGATGCATCTGGAAATTGTAAAGAACCGGTCGATAGAATGGATTTTTGCAAAAGATTTTCAGGTGAAAGTACTTGTATAGAATGTGAAGTTTCTTATTTCCTTTCTGGGGGAAAATGCGAGGGGAATAAACGGTCGAATAAAAATGATTACTGCTTCGATTATAGTATATAGGAAAATAGTTGCAAAACTTGCCAGTTTTGTAAATGGGATTTTGATAATAAAACTTGCTTATAGGAAGTCTCCTAAGGGGGGCTGCCTGTAAAGGATATTCATTCAGAAAGATTCGGGTTTTGCGAGCTTTTCGAAGTAGAGAAGTGTATTGAATACGAACCGAATTAAGCTAAATGTAAAAAATGTACTTAAAAAGAAGTCTTGGTAAATAATTTGACATTTAATGTCATTGAGGGATTATTAGTGACTACAGGGAAATATTGCTAGGATATTTATTCGATGGGGTTTAAATGTACGACTGCTCATCCGGCTTTTGATGGGTGTTTATCGTGTGAAGAAGGTATTTATTATTTGGATAAATAAAATAAGAATAAATGCGAGTTATATTCAGGTGATATTATGCTTAATTGTGAGAAATTAGATCCTTTTTCAGATTAATGTCTGGTTTGTAAATAGACTTTTATTTTAGTAAATAAGAAATGCAATTCCATTAATGTAAATTAGTGTGAAGAAAACATTAATAAAGATAATAAATGTACTAAATGTAAAAGTGGGTTTTCTTTAAATATATAGAATAATTCATGTGAACCAGTGGCTAATATTGCTTTTTGTGAAACTTACTATAATAATGTTTCTGAATGTATAAAATGTTAAACTGGTTATTATGTTTATTAAAAAAATCAACCTGCTGTTTCTGGATAAGAATGTAAAGCTTTAAGCGCCTAAAATTGTAAAGATTAGATGATTTTCGAAGACGTTTGCTTAAAATGTAAAGACGATACTTATACTTTAGCCAAAAACGGATCTGCATGTTATTTAGGAAGATAAACTTCTCATTGTATTATTTCAATAGGAAATACGAAAGATTCGGAATGTTATTTATGTGAAAGTAATTATATAATATAAGAAGGTTAAAATGATTGCTTATTAAATGAATTTAAGTAAAAATATATATTTGTATATACATTTTTAATTATTTAAATAGTTTTGATTAATGTTTAGCGGTTAAAATTGTAGATGGAAATTATATATGTGCGAAATGCTAATATTTATATTAATTATAAGATGGTGTTTGTGCTCCTATAAATTAATTAAGTAGTTGTTAAATAGATAAATGTCTATAATATGATAGTTTTGAAATTGATTCGGTATAATGTATTAGTTGTATAGGAGAAGGGGATGTTTATTAGGTAAAGGAGAATAAATGTGTACTTATTTCGGATTATGGATTTTTATTATTAGTTAAAATTAGTTTATTTTTAATATATTTTATTGTTTATTGAAATATTTTTATTTCTAATTGTTATATATTATTAAATTTTATATTTTATAAATTTATCAATAAAATATAGAGAGACTTTTTTCAATTTTTTTTTTTTTATTTTTTATAAAAATGTTTAAAAAATCGATTTGATTTTTTTATATATAATCAAGCTTTAGTTTATAAATATATATATATATATAGGATTATTGAATGTGAATATACTTTGTTTTTATATTTGTAAATCTTATAGGCATGAAATAGTATTTTAATCAAGTTTATCTCATTTTTTTTATAAATAGTTATTTGAGTTTTATGTATAAATATTTTTTATGTAAATTATTATTGTTTTAATTAAATATTTAATTTTTATTTTTACTTTTTTTTTTTTTTAAAAAAAATTTTTTTTTTTTTTTTTTAATGGAAAAAAAAAAAAAAAAAATTGGTTTATATTCATAAAATTATTATAAAAAACAAATTTAATTAGATTAATATATTATTTTAGGATTAAATTTAATATTATTTATTTTTTATGCTTTTCTAAATTATTAAGTCTTAAAAGTTCTCTTTTACGAAACTTTTATATTTTTCAGAGATTTTAAATTAATTATTATCAAATAAATAGGTTTAATTGCCTAATTATTCTTACTTTTTTAATTCTAATAAAATGCGAATATGAAAAATTGTTTTTCTAAAGTCCTTTTTTTTAAATAATTATTACAAATAAAATATACGAGGCTCAAAAATTTAATTTTTTATGTTTTTTTTTATTTTTTTAAATTATATTATTTTACAATCGAAAAAAATAAAAAAAAATTAGTATTAAAAATCGAAAGGTTTATATGAAATGGAAATTGTAAATAAAAAGATAAAATTTAATTATTCAGTTAAATTATAGCATTATTTAGTTATTTAAAAGTATTTTATATATAATTACATATTTATATACTTCCTTTAAAAAAATATAGAAATAAAAAGTTCAGTTATTTATATTTTTTCTTTTATTTATACAAAAAATAAATTACTTATTTTAACTTTTATTTATATTATTTAAAATTTAAATATGATTATTTCAAAAAATATTATTATACATTATTTTAAATGTCTTTTTTTTTTTGTAGATTGTTCTTTTAGGTAAAAAAAAACCTTAAATAATATTTCTTATTATTTTTTATATATAAATACTCACATGAATATATTAATTATATAATCTAAAAGGTTTATTTTGGAATTAAAAAGAAATTATTAATGTTAAAAATAAAATGATTAGGTTTTGTTATTAATAAATAAAAATTAAAGTTATTATGAAAAAAATTATATAAAATTAATAAGGATAATATCGATTATAAGCTAAAATAAATATAATTGAAAAAATATGTAATTTAAATTCTTTTTATAAATTTTTAAATAATTGATATAGAATAAAGCTTTATTTTTATTATTAATATAAAAATAAATATGAAAATATCTTTTGATTATATGTAAAAATAAATATAAAAGTAAATATAAATATATATATATATATATATATAGATATATATATATATATATATTTTATTTTATTTTAATTTATTTATTTTATATTTTACCCATATTTAATGTAATAAATCAATAAAACATATTAGACATATAAAAAATTTAAAATATTCTTATTATTATTTTTTTATATTCAATATTAACTTATTTTTTCATAAATATATATTTGTATAAAAATTTAAATATATATTTTAATATTTTTATTTATATTAAAATATTTTAATTATTATTAATTTATATTTATATTTAATATTAATTACATTATTTCCAAAATTTAATTAAAATTTTATTATAAAAAAAATAAAATTAAAATATAACTAAAACTTATAAATTGTTTCTAATAAACTCTATTTTTATATAATTTATTTTCAATCATTTCTTTTCAATATATCTATAATTTTAGAATATAAACAATTCTATTTTTAATTTGTATATAAAATATATTTTTTTAATATAAAAATTTAATATATATATTTATTTAAATAAATATATATTTTTTTTTAAAAAAATAATATTAATTTTCATATTTATAATTATTATAATTATTCTTTTTTTCCAAATAGAAATATAATTACTCATTTTTTACGTTTAAAATATAAATTAATATTTATTATAATATCGATTTTAAAATATTAAATATGTAATTTAATATTTATATTATTTTAATATAAAATATTGAAATATAATTTTTTTTTATCTTAAAATAAATAGTATAAAAATTTATGTATATATATAAATATATACATCTATATATATTTATATATATATATATAAAAAAAAATTATTATAACCAATATTAATTATAATTATATTTATTATTATATATTTTTTTTTTTTTAAAAAAAAAAAAAAAATAAAAAAAAATATAATAATTCAAAAAAATTAATAAAAAAATATAATTTAATAATTGGAAGAGTACAAAATAATATTTCTTTATAATAAAACAATTTTAATAATGATTAATAAATTATATAAAATATTTATTTTTTTTCCCCTCTTCATTTTTTTTAATTTAATAAATATTAAATATATATTTAAATATAAATATTAAAAAAAAAAAAAATAATAAATGTTACCTAAATTATTACCTTCATATTTCAAAATTCCTTCTATTTTAACTTAATAAGACCAGCTTTTACTTTTAGCATAATAGACATAACCAAAGCTAGAAAATTTTTAACATTTCCCAAAACAAGAAGTCGAGAATTTTTAATCAAGATTTATTTTACAAAGCAGTATTTTCAGGTAAAGACCTAGAAAACTTTTTAGAAAACACAATAAAAAAGAAGTCTGTATTAGAAAATATCCCTAATTATCTAGAAAACCATTAATTATATATATTTTTGAAATTAATAGGGAACATTTTGCTGTTTGCGCTTGAAAAAACATTAGATGAGGATGAAGATTAGAAAAAAATAGTATATGAATTAATCGAAAACCCTTTAAAAATAATTCTTAAGGAAAGCGTATGGAAAAACGTGATATAAGTAATATAGAATAAACAGTTTTAGTTTTAAAATGAAAAAGATGATAAGTATTATAAAGAGATTTCTCAGATTTTATTTTTTAAAGTGGATATTAGACTAAAATCTAATAATTCTAATAATTTAAATTTATTAAAGAATTTTTATATTAATTTAAATGAAAATAAAAGCTTTTTGTCTTTTTAGTATTTTGGAGGGGAAAATGAAACTATTTATAGGGAAAAATTCAAAGAAAATTTTCAAAATTATTTGTGTTTACTTGAAAATTACTTCGAGAAGTAAAATATTATTGTCAATTTTATAAAAAGGAATGCCTTTTAGAAATTTAACTTAAATGAAGATCAACTTTTATAATAGTTTTTACAGATTATGAAAGATTTTAAATAGACTTCTTTAAAAAATTACATATAGAATCTATTCTAGTATACCTTTGGAGAAAATGAAAAAATAGAAAAGGCTATTTATATCTAAAAATGTTAATAAAAAGGTATTTTGACTGTACTTTTTGATGTAGTAAAAATAGAATTGGATTTAATAGATAAAGAAGAGTTCATAAAGTTTTCAATTAATGAAAAAGATAAAATCAAAAATACAAAAGATTTAAAATAAAATTATTATTTATAAACGATTGATAAATTAATTAATAAATGCATGTTTAATGGAGATGAATAATGTGATTGTAAAAAATGTTAATGGTATATTTTATATATATTTATTTAATTATAATTATATACAAATTTAAATATATATATATATATATATATATATATATATATATATATATTTATATTTAATATAATAAATAATCTTTAGTATTAGAAGAAATAGATGTTCTGCCAAAGAAAGTTAAAAAAAAAAAGAGAAGCTTTAATTTAAATTGGGCCTTTATAAAAACATTGTGATAATTTAGAAAAAAGAGTAACAAAATTTTATTTAATTATATATATATTTATATATATATTTTTTCATATAAATAGATATATGAATTAGAAAGTGAAAATTCTATTTTAAAAAATATTATAGGAGATTTAGTTAAAAACAATGGATAAAATAAAATTGAAGAAATAATTGAACCTATTGATAAGATTATATCAAATTCTATGAAAGAAAAAAACAAATATTTTAACTTTTAGGAAGATAATTAAATTTATATAAATAAAAAAATCAAATAAATTTGAAAGATTTTTATTCTTATTTTATTTGGAAAATTAATAAATTAACTTAATATATATATATATATTTATATATATATATATTTATATTTATATATATATATATAAATTTATATATCTATGTTAATAAATTTATTTAAAAATATACTTATTTTTATATTATATGTTTATTTATCATTTTATTTTATTTATTATATCCATTCATACTTTGTTTTTATTATACTTTTAATCTTTTTATACTATAATATGAATTATTTTTTATTTTAAATTTTAGTTCATATTTTTATTTTTATTTTAATTTTATTGATATTCAATATAAAAAATTTATTTATTATAAAATATATAAATAAAATTTTCATATATACTTTTATTTAAATTAAAATAAATTATTATATGAAAAGCAAAATATCATCTTTTTCATCATTAGAAGATTAATATAATAATGAAAAACAAGATATTTAATTTTTAAACAAATTAAATTAATAAACTTTATATATATAAAATGCTTTGCAATCAAATTTTTGTTATCATTTTAAAGAATCATTATTATAAGCATAATAAACTATAAAATAAATATTTAAAAGAATGGACGAACAAATCTAAGAAATTATACTAATTGAAAAAAACAAATCTTTTGCTATTTAATAAAGTTTATTAATAACCGAAAGATGTTTTTTTTTTCGTAAATTTATAATGATTAAGATATTTTCACTGAAAAAAAAATTGAATTATTAGAAGATAACGAACCTGTAAAAATAAATATATATATGTATATATATATATATATAAATATATATATATATATATATATATATTTTTATATTTACATATTTATTTAAATTTTCATTTTAAAATAGTAAAAATGTTAATAAGAAAATTGGCTTAGAACACATATATAAGTTGAGAAAAATGATCATTCTAGTTTATTTTTATTTTTTATTTAATTTTAATATTAAAATTTATAAATAGCATTGGAATTTATAGATGATCTTTAAGATAATTTAAAATAAAATGACAAAATTTCTTATAAAACTTCTTTTACTAGCATTAAAATGTTTAAAAAGGACGATGATAAAAAAAAAGTAAATAAAATATTTAATAAACCTATAAATATTGAAGTTGTGTAAGAAAATGATGAACTTATTGAAAGATTAAGGGCAATGAAATTATCTGATATTAGAAGAAAAGAAGAAAAATAAATAATTGAAAAGAAAAATGCTTTAGTATTTTTATTATTTTTATTATAAATAAAAAAAATAGAAAAATGCAACTGAAATCAAAAAAGATAATAAAAATTAGAAATTTACATATGATTATGAAGGGAAACTACTTTTTGTAAAACCTTTAAAACTCGATAAACTACCTCCTTCAAATTATACAATATCGTAAAATATTTAAATACTTATATATATATATATATATATATATATATATATATTATTTATTTATATATTTATTTATATTTTTTATAGATACAATTGTGAAACAAAAGAAGACGATAAATCTAAGATTTCTGATAAAAATTATAGAAAAACAACAATATAAAAAACAGTTTAAGAAAATACAAAAAAATAGAGTTTTTAAAAAACTGAAGAATTATAAAATTTGGGAATGAATAACAAAATTTAAACTGGAAAAAATCCTTTTTCATTTGAAGATTTTAAGCCTTCTTAAGGAGTTACTTTAATTTTTGAGTAAAAAAAAAAGAAGGTTAAAAGAATAATGAAATTTTGGAAAATTTAGCAGTTTTAGAAAATAGGCTAAAATTATAAGATTGTCCTTTGTAAATAACTAGAAGTGAATATAAAAGATTAACTGAAAATGGAAATCTTAACATGACTAGTTCTATTAAAAATTTTTAAAATCAAATTCTGAGATAAAGTATATTTTAAAGTCCTGGTAGTGTAAAAAATTACAAGTTTAATAAACAAGAAAGTCCTCTAAATTCTTATTTATTGAATGCTAATGGAAAATAATAGGATGATTTTTAATATTAAGGGAATAAGTCTTCTTTTATTAATGTTTCATTACCGAAGTTGGCTTAAAGTTTACTGGTTGAAGATGATAAAAAAATTTCAGGATGTCTTTATAATAATAAAAAATATAAAAATAATATAATATGGTAGAATAAGAGAAAAATAATCCAATTGACGATTTTAATATGACTATTTTGAATGGGAAAAATGATGTTTTATTATAAAAAAAAAAAATAGATATTAATGAAAATAAAAATAAAGCATTTTAAGTAAAAAATAAATAAAATTTATTAAAATAAACTGTAGGATAAATGTATAAATTACCAAGATAAAGAGATTTAATATAAAATTTATAAAATAATTAAGAATATAATAGCTTCTATTCTAAATCTAAATAATTTTATGAAAAATTAAGAAATTTTTGAATTTTTATGAAAATATATATAAATAAAAATATATTTATAATATTATATATATATAAAGTTATAAAAAAGTTTTTATTAAATTTTCTAAAATATAAAATAAAAGTAATGTATAAACATTTAAAAAGTTTATTTAATTTTATAAAAAAAAATTATTTTAATAAAAGTAAGATTATAATAAAATATTTAAAAAAATAATAATATATAATATATAT